CACCACTTCCCAATATTATTGAGTTCCAAAGCCTCTATCTCCTTTGCCATAACTTCTTGCCAACCTGGGTGGTGTGCTGCTTAAGAGTAAGAGGTGGGTTGCTTGATATAGGTTAAGGAGTTTAGAAGGTGTTGATTTGAAGTAGTGAGGCCAAAGAAAGGGAAACTAGGGGTTGTAACAAGGGACAGGAAACAAGAGTTGCTTACATCTGTAAGATGCAAAGCATTACATATGTAATCTTTAAGGTAGGCAGGGGGGTTATGTGGTCTAGATGATATTCTGATGAGCCCATCAAGTAGGGGTTCAACAGGAGAAGGAGAGGCAGTAGGAATGAGAGATTAGGTGATATAAGAAGGGGAGTATGAGGTTGTATTAGGAGGAGGATAGAAGGTAGGGGATAATGGTTCTTCAGAGGGGAGTCCAAAGGAACTGGGATAGGAAAAGGATAAGAGGAGCCAGTAGAACAGTTAGGCATTTGAGCAAAGGTAAGAAAGAGACATCACAACCACCATACTTCTTAGAAGAAAAAAGGAAGCAGTCTTTCATGAAAGACAATATCCCTTTACACAAAAGGTTGTAGAGTTTGAAGATTTAGTACTTTGTATCCCTTCTTCCCACGAGGATAACCCAAGAAAATACAAGCAATGACTTTAGGTTGAAATTTTGTTCTATGGTGAGAAAGAGTATATGCAAAACATAAACAACCAAAACATCTAAGAGCAGAATAATCAGGTTTAGTGTGAAATACGATCTAATAAGGAGTTTTAAAATCTAAAACCTTTGAAGGAAACTTGTTTATTAGATGTGTGACAGTCAAGACACAATCCCTCCAATAGGAAATAGGTAATATGATTGAAAGATCAAAGCTCTTGAAGATTCTAAAAAATGCTTGTGTTTTCTCTCCACTAACTCCATTTTGTTGTGGAGAACCAATACAAGTGGTTTGATGTTGAATTCCATAAGAAATAAAAAACTCTATCTGTGACTTCCTACTACCCAATTCAAAAGCATTATCAGATCTTATGATCTTAACTTTAGTGTGAAATTGTCTTTCCACCATAGCTAAGAAGGATTTGAGAATTGGAAAAGCATTTGACTTGGCGCTTAGTAAGTAAGTCCAAGTTCCTCGACTAAAATTATCAATAATTATTAGAAAATATCTACATCCATCATAAGTTGGATTGCCATAAGGTCCCCAAGTATCTATATGCATTAAATCAAACACATTTTCGGACGAAATGGAACTAGTGGGAAAGGAAAGTTTGGATTGTCTTGCCATATATAAGACAAACAACACAAGAAATAGAAAAATTAAAACAAGAAACAAGAATAGAAGAAATATTTTTCATATTGCTCAAAAGTATGTGGCCTAATCTATAATGCCATAATTTCTATTTTATATTGAAATCTGAAGAAGTAAAACAAGAATATAAAGTAGGTTTATAATGTTTCTCTTTAAAATTTATGCTAGATACAAAATATCTACTAGTGAAATTGAACTAAATTCTTGGAAATGGTTGCAGAAGGCCTTGATTGAAGAATGTAAAGTCCTCATCTCTCCCTACCAATCTCTCGAAGGCTCTTTAGTGGAGGGCCTTGCACTAGAAAACAAGTAGAATGAGTGAAAAATAGTGAGTGACTGAGTTGCTTACACAACTTGTATACCAGTACAGTTGGCAATGACAGAATCATCAGAGGTAGTGGCTCCTTGCTAACCAAGGTTTACCTGTTTAAGGAGTTGAAGTAGTTGTGCTACATTCTCTTTGGTGAGTGACTTTGCTTCTGAATCTGCAACTATCTGTTCCCCTTCATTGTTTGTAGTGAATGCATTATTTGCCTGAGTTGCTCCCTGAAATTTTCTCTGCTTTGTAAACTTAAAATCTATTGGAAACCCATGGATTTTGTAACACTTTTCAATGTTATGACCTGGCTTCTTGCAATAAGCACATATCCTTGAGTATTTCTTTGCATCTGAACCCTCTTTCTGTCTATTGTAGTCATTGAACTTCTTCCCCCCTCCTGTCTGATTAGCAACAAAAGAGGCTGACTCCCCTAGATTAGTAGGGGTAGCATGAATCTCCCTCTGCTTTTTATCCTGCATAGTAATGAGTATGCTTGACCAATGGATGGCAGGGGAGAGGACAAGAGTATATTGCTCCTAACTCCTATAAAGGAGTCATTCAAACCTATAAGAAATTGTAGTAGTCTCTCGTCCTGATGAGCTTTCATAGCCTTATCCTTAGCACCATAATCAAAGTTGCACACACAAGCAGAGAAAGTATTGAGAGCATCTAGTTCATCCCATAAACTTTTCATCTTAATGAAGTAAGTAAAAACACTGTGGTTACCTTGCATAACAACACTTAATTTCTTTTGTAGTTGGAAAAGTTTGGCTCCATTTGTTTGACCAAATCTGTCTTCGAGGCCATTCTAAAAGTCCTTTGCACTCTGAGAATACAACACTCTCTGCCATCTCTTTTAATACTGAGTTGAGAAGCCATGAGAGAACCATGTCATTGCACCTTGACCAAGCCCCGTGAAGTCTATAATCTACATCAGGAAGAGCTAGGGTTCCATCAATGAACCCTAATTTATTCTTAGCAGACAAAGCTATCACTATAGCTCGTCTCCACCCTCCATACGCTCTTCCATCAAAAGCTGAAGATACCAGGTTCATACCTGGGTAATCAGAAGTATGCAAATAGTAAGGGTGAGCTGAATCAACCAAAGAGTTAGTAATAGAACCAGTTGCAACAGGCGTAGATGGGGTTGAAGTAGAAGAAAGGACTACATCAGTGGTTTATCCATTAGTTCCCATGTATGGGAGATGAAACAATTTGAAAAATTAGAATTTGTAAAAAAAAAAAAAAAAAAAAAAAAAAAAAAAAAAAAAAAAAAAAAAAAAAAAAAAAAAAAAAAAAGGTGATTTGAGGCAGCTTAATCACTTCTCCGATACCATGACAGAATTGAAAGAAAAGGATCGATAGAATTTTCTGTGTATTGATTAAATGAGTAACGGACTATACAAGCTACCTCTTATATACAACAAAAATGGAATCTAAAATATAACTGTCTATACACTTGTCTCTATTCTATTGGCTACTCTATAATAAACTCACATGCTAATTACAAGAATAAATAATATTTGTAAATTAGAAACTTAAATATCTTATCTTCAGCTTCTTCTAGTAGGCCCAAGAAGCAAACATTCCGATGAGCCTAATGAATGTGAGCCCAATAGCTATGCAGAGCCCAATATCTTTATAAATTCTAGTCAAAACATTTGTTTGTTTGTAACCGTTGATTATTTCCACGTGGCTGGATCTCATCTAATCAAGATATTATAAAGATGTTCAGACATCAATTGTATCGAACACCCTAGCAGACCACTGTACCTTCTACAAAACCTTTCTTGTTCATCGGGGAAGAAAACCCAAATCCAACATAAACATGTGCAAAAGATTATAGGAGTAATCAACAGTTCAAGATTACAAAATTTAGATTGTAAGGACTCGAGACAACAATGTTTAACATAACAAGACTTTGCAATTTGGGATGGAAGTCAATAATGTGGACTAGTTAGTGAAGTTTTAAATGTGGACAACGTTAATTAAGACTTTGCAATTTTGTAGGACGTTAATAAGAATGTTAACCGATATTCAGGACGCTTAATGTGTTGGAATTTGCATATTGTCTTAGGGCAAGAAACAAATCGCTTCAACCATATTATAAGCATCGTTTGGTTGGGAAACAAGTTATTTCAGAATTCATTATTCCGGGACTGTTATCCCATATTCTCATAGGATAAAAATAACATTACAATCTCGGGATCACTAATCCCGAAATTTATTATACCGCAATTTTATCTCAAATTTAATCTCAAGATTAATTATATCTTATCCCTCTTACCAAACAACTTATAAATGTCACTTGTTACTACCTTGTACTAATATTTAAAAAACAAGTTGTTCTTCTGATTAATGAATGAAACTAAACTCGCTCCTATAAAATATACTACTGTACTTGTTTGGTACGATCATTGTTACTGTTATTTTATGGCTAAAGCCTTGGACAACGAAGGTGAACAATAAGCGTGCAGATATCGATTAAAGTTGAATAAAAATCTTAATGCTTCATAGCAGTACGTTATCGTGGATTGAACATAACATTATATGCCTGTAGTATTATTTTTGTTACAGCTTGATTTTATTTTATTTTTATTAATTGTGGTATTCGGGCCAATTTACGCTTATCTCGTCTAATTCTATAGGGTATCTACTCTTTTTTGTTAGGTACCGGATGAATTTATCCATCAAACTTGGACAAATAAAAAAAAGTCACCTAGTGTTTTTGTCTCCTCAGAAACACAACTTGCATTCATTAAAAAAAAAGAAGAATATCCACATTTAAATTGTCAAATTTTGGTAGCTCTTAATAAATATGCAACATTATCCAATTGCCGAAATCATATTCCTTTGTGCATTTGTACCCTCTATCATTTTCTAAAGTGTCAGAATTCAATGTAAAGAGAGTCGATAATCATTCCCTTGTCCTCTCAAGATGTAAGTTGGGTTTCCTTGATAACTACATTGAAATGGAGTATCTAATTAACACAATTAAACATGTAACAAGGCTACTTGTGAAAGATATTACAAAAAAGATTCTTGAAAAAAATTGGTAAAGAATTTTGTATACTGGGTGCACAATACACATGATATGTACAGATCATGTGGTGGCGGTTCATATTATTATTAGGGCAAAGGTTCAAATATGCCCTTGTACTATACGAAATTGAGCACATTTGTCCTTCGTCAATACTTTAGCTCAAATATGTCCTTACCGTCACATAGTTGGTCNGAGTTGATGTGGGGTGGATACATTTTTGGTTAATTAGGCCCATTTTAAGCACAAATCTAGCCAAAAAGGCCCAAAGTGGACGGCCCATTCCCTCAGCCCACATAGCCCATCAGATATAACACCCTAGAACTAAGAGAGCGAATTTCCTCCAACCGAGAGAACACCCACCACAGCTCCTTCTAATTTCTGCTCAATTGGGAAAAGCCAGACGAAAACCTCCGAATTCTTAGAGAAACCACCCGCAACCTGCACGAAAAAAGAAAACAAAGAGTGAAAGAATTAGGAAGGAAGAAGAACCCTAAGAGAAAAACAGCACACCACCCTTCCACACCTCCTAAGCTAAGAGTCGTCGGCCATCTCCCTTACTCCAAAACATCAGCCGCCCACCTCCACCCTAAGCGATCAGCTGCACCACCGAGCTGCTCCTTCTTATGTCTTGAAGCAGCAGAACTGCGCTGTCCCCCCCTCTTTCTTCTCTCCTCTCACCTCAATCTCCACACACAATACTCAGTCACCCTCTCACATTTGATGCATTATAGACAAAATTAGAAGTTCTGAAGATTTTTGAAATTTAGAAACAAAGCTTCTGGAAAACAAGAAGAAATAGGATTTTTTTTTTAGCTCCAAGTACTCGTTTCTGATTTGCAAAATAAGTTTGAAGTTGGTCTCGCTGCTTTGTTGTTGTTTATGTGGTTAGATTTCCCCCTCAATTTCAGAACTCTATTCGGTCAAATTCGTTTGTTCTTGCTATTAGTCACTGCTGCTCAGTTGATTTTTTGAGTCTGTTGTCGGTCGCCGTCCGAGGTTCGATGTTCGCAGAGTAATTTTTGCCGCTATTTTTTGTTTCCTGTTCAAGTTCGTATGCCGGAGTTTCAAGGTCCATCTCTTCTATCTCACTCTCTGCTTGAAATGAATTAATGGTTGCTTGGTTGTCCGATTCGTTATCCTCTATGTTATTCAATGTCAAAATGGATTTAAACTTGGTTTGCTATCTGGTTCTTATTTCTTTTGTGCTCGTTATTCTCTATTATCGGCAGTGACTTGTTGGTTTGAGAATAAGGGATAGGAGTTTAGTTTATTTAATTTAATTTTACACTTGAGAAGTATAAGTTTTAAAAAATTGGAATTGAAAGTATTTGATAAGGATTTAGATTTTACATTTGAGAAGAATTTGGTTTAAACTCATTTAAGCAGAAGTGGACTGTGGGTGATAAAACATTAATGAGATTTACGTTTAAGGTGAATTGCTTTGTTTGTCCGAGTTGATTCGCTAGGAGCATGTTTAGGCCGTCAACACATGGGTAGGCAAACGATTAGGAAATTTACTTATTTCTTTTTTAGGTGAGTGGTTGCCCCATTAGTTAATTGATTTATTCGGGGATTGCCCTGAAGAGTTTGTATATATATTTTTATATTTTTACCCGGGGAATGCCCCGAAGTGAATATAATTAGAGGCTGTGACGGACATCGTGGAGTGAGCATAGTATAGACTTTTAGTATTTTTCTCTTATTTTATTTTCTTTTATTTAGGTGGGGACGACCTCGAGCCTCTTGTGTATTTATCCTCTATCTGTTGCATTGTGCCCATGAATTGACATTTACCGAACCTTTGCATTTCACATGAATACCAAAGCACTTCAATTGTTATTAACTCAGTACGCATACCACTTTTCCCTGACTTATGCCAATTTGATGTACTAGTCAGACTCTGCTTTGTGCAATTGGAAAGATGGTAGCAAAATTTGAAGTCATTTCTCACTTATTCTGACAGAGCAGACTCAAAAGGAGGATTTCAACAAAGCAAGAAGAACAAAGTAAGGGGACAGTGGAAACAGATGACATCTAACAAGAGAATTACCAAGTAGAAACTTATCTGATGTGATACCAACTCTAATGACCATGAAGTGCATCTTGGATTAAGTGGCTTGATCTGTCAAGCAAGTCTAATCTTCCATTCTTGTCATACCTCTAAGCTGTGAAACTAGGCTTCAATGCTCCAATTGTCCTATCTAATTCACGATCCTCAATCGACTTGTAGTGCCCTGAAGGGTTTTCACTATCAAGCCTCTCTCATTTTGTTCTTTATCTCAACTCACTGTCGCCTTATGGTGCCCGTGAGAGTTTTCACCAATAAGACTCTCTCATCTTGTTCCTTTCTTCTTATTTTCTCTGATTCTGCAGATGACAAAGCATTAACCATGGTAAAAATATCATATGCTCCTAGCATGTCTAACTCGGCATTCTCAAAGATTATCTGGGAGGTCTTTTTTGGACTGTAATGTGGCTTTTGGACAGGGTTAGAAAGAAAGAAAGGCATGAAGGCTCAAATTCAAACTAAGACAAAATGATTAATTTATTTACAACTTTTGGAATCTATTTTAATAAGAAGACTACAAAATAATTTTATTTACAACTTTTGGAAATGCTGCTAGAGATAATAAGAAGACTAGGATAATTCCAAGGCATATACAGCTTGCGGTGAGGAATGACGAGGAACTCAGTAAGTTGTTGGGGAAGGTGACAATTGCTAACGGTGGAGTTTTGCCCAAAATTCATACAAATTTGCTGCCTAAGAAGAATGGAAAGGGGAAGCCAGAAGTCGGAACCCAATCACAGGAATTTTAGACTCTGCTGTTAAATTAGTTTGTTGGGTAGGCAGGTTTAATATGTTTTTGTGAATTAGTAGTAATATGTCGTTCTGAGCTTGCCTTTTGATATGGTTATAGCCATCTATGTGAATGAGAAGTTTGTTTCTAGTACAATCAAACCTGTACTATTAGTTTCAAGTTTCAATTTGCATTTGATCTATTGGGAAAAACTAAGTAAATTATGCCACAAGTAATATTCAATCCCAAGCAAGTTTGGGTTATGAATGAATGTCTGTTACCTTATGTAAGAACATAATTACAAGAACATAATACACATAATTAAAATGGAATAAAATAATGGTACATGGGCCATATATTATTATGTTTCTAAAAACAAAATTTATGTTGATAACATCCACTTAGATTGAATAAATGACATTTGTAATCTTAGAATCGAAACATGGAGTACAAGTTGCATGTCTTTGGATTGTAAGATAAGATTTTTCTATGTTGGAAAAGAGTCTAAGGCCTCGTTTGGTAGGAGGGATAATGAATAATTAATTATGAGGTTAAATTTAAGAAGAGTTTATTCTATATTTGGTTTGGAGAAAATTGTGATATAACTAACCGCAAGATTAGTTATTCCGGTATTGTTAGTTTTTTTCATTCCTATAAAAATATAAAATAATTAATCATGAAATAACTAATATGAAAATAATTAATTTTGGGATAACTTCTTTCCAACAAAACCAAACGAATCCCAAAGGTGATAGTAGTATTTTTGTTGCCAAGTATTAACGGATAACAAAATGATGCAAAAGTCAATATTATGGGGTCTATGTCATCCTTTATCAACCCAATGAAAACAAGCAAAATATGACAAATGGAAAACCCCATATTTCACGATTCCTATATAAGGGAGTCGTGGTGGTGATCCAGTTTTTCATTCTAAGAAATTCTCATTTCCATTAGTAAAGAGAAAACAAATGAGTTCGACAGGCTCAACCAAAGGAGGCAGAGGCAAACCAAAGTTGACAAAATCGACATCTAGATCTCAGAAGGCTGGCCTCCAATTCCCTGTTGGCAGAATTGCCCGTTTTCTTAAAGCAGGCAAATATGCCGAACGTGTTGGCGCTGGTGCACGTCTACCTCGCCGCTGTTCTTGAATATTTAGCCGCTGAGGTAATTTTTCATATATAGTCAAACCTCTCGATAACAATCTCGTTTGTTCTGAATAGTTTTGGATGTTATAGCGAAGTGCTGTTATAGAGAAACTACATTATAACATAGCATAAAAATTGGTTACGAAAAAGCTTGGCTTTTATGGAGAAGTGTGGTTATATAGGGATGCTGTTATAGAGTGGTCTGATTGTATCTCATCCATCTTAATCAATCTTCACTTATAATATTGAACTATTGTTCTATCTTACAAATTTCACAAAGCGTGATCTAGATAATAAAGAAAAAAAATATAGCGATTAGCTGCATGCGGCCATGCAAAGGAATTACGTTTAGTATATTGAAATCATTGGAACACAATAGGTTCACCCAATTACCTTGAAGCTAGAAATGTGGTTCATGGATAGTCATTACTACGATATCTTTTCTCTTTATATGACTCTTGACCTAGAAAGTGGACAGTATCAAACTATGTTGTGTTTTACCAAAATTGTGAGGATCTAAATTTGTTTAATCATGCATGCAAGCATTGTATTTCGGCGTCATCTTTTTCTTTCCTTTTTTAAAATATGGTTGAGGTTTGATTGTAATAATAGTACAGGTTCTGGAACTTGCTGGTAATGCAGCAAGAGATAATAAGAAGAATAGGATAGTGCCAAGACATATACAGCTCGCAGTGAGGAATGACGAGGAGTTGAGCAAACTTCTAGGAGATGTTACCATTGCAGATGGGGGTGTTTTACCCAATATTCACCAGAATTTGTTACCCAAGAAGAGTGGGAAATCCAGAGATGACATTGGGTCCGCTTCACAAGCAATTTAGTTATTCTTTTCAAATTATTTACAGATTCGGCTTAATTTGACTGGCTGTAATAGGTGTGAAGTACTTCCTTTTTTTTAAGTTAACTAAAATTAGAGTAGATAAATTTATACTTTTTCAACTTTTGGAAAGGTTTTATCATGTTACACTCAATTGTACACACGAATCAAGATTTGTGCAATGAATACAACATACTTCCAGTTGAATGATTAGCCACCCAGATGGTCTCTTTCTGTTTTTTTTTAATTTTTTTTATTTATTATTGCTACGTATACAATATTATTGTTGTCATTGCTCTATGTCAGCGTCTTTGAAAACTACATAAAGCTATGTATCCTGCCTCAAACATACGCTTGAAAACTGGATAATTTTCCTACAGAACAGCTTAACCAAGAATGGAAAATTATAGTACCAATCGTGTGGAACTGGAATCTCAAAAACACAGGACGTATCCAGTTTTCAGTTCCATGTTTTTATGTGAGAGAACAAACATGAGATTAAAAGAAGAAAGGAAATTCAGGACTGATCCTCAAGGTATTGATTGTATGTTACAAATAACTATTTTTTTGCACGTTTACCATTAAGATTGGGAGCTTAGTCTAATTTCAAATGTTTTCTTGGAAGAAAATAATCCGTTCTTGCAATGATAATGTAGAAGAAACCACTCTCAAGAGTTCCCAAATAATTTTTTTAAGGATGGAGTATGTGCAAACTAAAAGATCAATAAAAGAGATGATATTGTTATTTGATTCTCTATATAATTCTAGTAGTTTCATTTTTGAATAAATTAGTTAGACCATACTACTGTAGTTTGTTTTGTGATTTCCATAGTAATGCAATAACGAACATGGTGCTTCATTATGAATTTCGGGAACATTACTCAACTTTTTTTAGGAGTTTTACCATGTTACCTATTACCTAACACGGTGTTTAATCCCCTGCATCTCCAAAATTCTGTTGTCTCTCTTTTTTAAGCAAATAATAAGTTTCAAAAGACTGCAACATTTAAATGACCCCAATTGGCATTATAAATGGTTTCTTCAACCAGAGTTTTAGAACCTTATGATAAAAAGATAAAACAAAAGATGAAGGAATTTTCCCCGTAGATACTAAAACACGCAATCACACTATGGGGTCAAGGTCAACGAAGTCTGCTCTACCAGAGAGTCATTCCAATTTCCAGTACAAAGGCAAACAACCATAGCCCACGAATTTAACTCCAACCAGTTATACTAGAGCAAGTAGGTATAATTTAACCAAAGTATTCAAACACATTGGTGGTCAATATAACAATAGGATTTCAGCACTGCAAACATGTTTACCACACACTAGAGCGTAAGCATTAGGACTCAAGAGGCACTGAGGTCTCACCAGACAATGAACTGAATGTCACTGGGATCTTCTCTTGTTGCAATACATGAGCAGTGTTGGTTTTGTCAAATGGCAATGCTGTTCAAGAGGCACTAGCCATGGATTCTATAAGGAGCTGGTAACCTTCTGGGACAGCTGTCTGTGTATGCACACATTCTGCCAACGCAGGAACATCTGCATTAATGTCCAAAAATTTGGCCAGCAGCAGTAGTAAATGGAAATCTGAGATTCGCTTCACAAAAGAAAGATTCTTTGTTCGATTGAAATGATCTTTTAATGCTCTCATGCTCACTGGAATATTCCTGTTTTCAATAGGAAATGATGATGATAGAGGACCCTGCGCAGTCATAAGAATTCACATGAGACGAGAGCAGATAAGAGTAGATGTTCAAAGTAAATACTATCACTAGTACGATAGCAAAGGAGAACAGAAGACAAAGGGAGAAGGGGGTCGAAGGAAACTCTATGCATCCGTCCAACAATTGCAATGGCAGCACATATGTGCAAAATAAATATTAAAAAGGAAATGAAAAGAAAATTGACAAAATAACAGGTATCCGAGTGGAACTGTCAAAGACATCACTTTTTGCATCTCTTTCATCTCTGGAGACTCAATTTTCATTGCTCAAACCACTGTGGTAGAATTATAGCCAATTGTAGCTTCAGTCTCACTCTAATATATATCAAAACTTAGAACTACCATGAAGTCCTGCACTTTGAAATCTGGTAAAGCTGCCAATAGTAATTGGGAATGATGTAGGCTTATAGATTAATCGTCAAAATCAGATGTCACATACTAGAGTTTTCTCTCTTTTGGCTTCAAGACAGAAATCATAACACCACCTAGCACCACGTCTTCTTCCTACCTAATCAGAAAGTAACTTGATTTGATGCTTAATCTAAGAGCAGAGACAACTACCACATGATTCTAAACACATTTTACAAAATTAGGAGCATAGTGTTGCCTTCACTAGCTATTACATCTTATCATAAATCACCAACTATATCAGATGATAAAGCAAAGTGATTATTTTCCTCACTATAGCCTAACAGCATCTGAGGATCATCCAGCAAAAGACACTCAAATTCCGCCAAAACCAAATGACTGATGCAGCACTTAACAAGAGGTAATCTGAGCAAACAGAGGAAGGGATTTTGGAATATTTTGAATTACAGTTTGGAAAACATTTATGATTTGCAAGTTTCATGTTGAAAGCATACTAGTACACTTAAAACTGAGTTTACTATAAGCATATTGTATTCTCTGTCCAAAACCTTATTGGGAAGCCCCTTGCCAAGGTGTCCTAGGCAGGCACTGGAAAAACCAGATTTCCCGCGCACTTCGCTAAACCAAAAACTTTAGGTCCGAAAGATATATCAAATTCAAAAGATTGGGAACATTGGATTTGATAACAATACCTTCATGAATGAAATCTTAATGCATCATTAATATGTTCTTGTTTTTACGGAAAAACAAGAACATATTGTGATCAAATAAAGTAATTTTCCTAAGCACCTCACACTTGAAAATATATTCAACCTGTCAGGACCAAAATCGGTACCAACAACAGCTTGCAATGCTATACTCCAGCGCCCGTGTTTTGGGTAACATCAATTCCCCAACCATCTTATTTATCACGTGATTCACATCAAGTGAGAGGGGATACAACTAGTGAAGGAAAACTAAATGAAGAAAAAAAGTTAAAAAACTCCCTAATGGAAAGATTCAAAGATATTGTTCCGTGCATTCTAATATTAATTAAAATTCAATTAATCCTGCCAAAAGCTGACATGGAGGGAGAAAAAATTGCAGGAATTGTTAGCGTGGTTTTCTTTCCTTCCATTCATTTTTTGGGTAGGGTAAGGGACACATAAGAACATATTGGCATTTGTTTTTTTTGTCCTTCCATTTTTGGTGGAAAGAGAATTAACCAAACCTATGAGTTGAATGTAACAATAATACTTTTGCAAAAGAGGAGATGGGCTGATGCTCAAGCCTGGTAATTTTCTACTGGAGTCAAAGCTGTAGCCTAAAAATTTATAGGGCAACACGCTCGAGCCTAAAAAGTCCAATGACCTCAGGCTGGGTAAAGCCCTAATTTCAAACTTGAACCAATCCCTAGAAATGTTCTTTTGACATTAAAAAAATTATCATAGATAAATGAGTTCATGTTTGCGAATATCATGCTTCATGTTACGCCCAAAAAGTGGAAAAAAGGAAAAAGAAAACAAAGCAGAGTTCTCCTACCAAACAAATACAGCTAACAGAAAGATGACAAGCTGAAAGAGCAAATAAGAGACTAAAATATGATGAACTTGGAATGAA